TTGACGCCGGCTTTGAACCAGTAGAGGCCGGTTTTGGAGCCGTTGAAGAGGGATGGGACGTGGACGTTGCCGCGGCGGGCGATGAGGTAGTCGAAGATGATGATCTGCGATGTGTGAGCTGTGCTCTCAAAAGAATGGATGTGTGCACTTACGGCGCAGAGAGGGGCCATGAAGATGTTATAACTCCCCAAGAACGAAAGAAACGCCGACGCGTTCGCAATCAACTTCCACGGCAACACCACAATCCCCAAAATCGCACACACAATCTGGCCCCGCCGGATAGTCAAATACCTAGGAAACAGCCCCGTCATGTCCGCCCCAAACGGGATCGAGTTCGCGCCAAAGTTCGTCGCAAACATGCTCAGAATGAAACTGAACGCCACAAAGAACACGCCCGCCCTCCCCGCGGGCGTCCAGTAGTGGTCCAAAATCGCGTCCAGCAAATCCCACAGGTTCCAGTAGGCCTGCCCCCAGGCGCCCTGCAGGGACGTCGTGGAGGCCAGGCCGAGGAAGAAGACGAGGCTCTGCGCGAAGAGCACGCAGGCGCCCTGCAGCCAGCCGGCGTCGGAGGGGCGGCGGGTGTAGCGCGCGAGGTCGGGCTGGTTGACGAGCATGGGCGAGAGGGAGCCCATGATGACGTTGATGCCGTTCATGACGGCCCAGCCGAGGGGGACGGACGAGGTGGCTTCGGAGGGGGCGGCGGCGTTGATGTTGGAGATGCCGGTGCCGTGGGCCATGCACCACCCGAAGAGGCCAAAGCAGGCGAAGGGCATGACGAAGCCTTTGACGGTGAAGATGTAGTGGATGTGCGCGGGGTGGACCCAGGTCTGGAGGCGTGTTAGTTGTGCTCGGGAGTGGTCAGGGGGGGGGCGTACGAAGGGGAACTCGACTAGCCAGACGATGAAGAAGGCTAGGAGCTGTTTGGATGTGACGTCGGCGCTGGCGGGGAGGGCGTTTGCGAAGTTGTCCCAGCCGCTGCCGAAGATGCACCGGAAGCAGACGGAGAGGAGGTTTGCGCCGTAGTAGGTCTGGATGCCGTACCATATGATGCAGACGATGGCGCGGATGAAGACGAAGAAGTAGGAGCCGTACATCCCCATCACTGATCGTGCGAGGACGGGACTAGAAGCCGTCAGAATCTTGGTCTCTGTATCTGGTGGGATGGGCAACTTACTATCCCAGATGATACATCGCGCCTGGCCGCGCCATGCCTGTGACGATGATCGCAGAGATGAGAGAGCCGAGGACGCAAGAGATGAAGGCCTGTTGCCATGTCTGACGTCCGTTAGTTTCCTCTCGTCTCCGACACATCAAACTCGAACTCAAGATGACATACCAAGCCCACTGCTACCAATGAAGACGCCACATTCCACCCCGTCGTCCCAAACATGTTCGAGAACCAGTACAGCGGCAGGTTATACCACGTCCACGTCCGCTGATGCGGCGGCGTCGGCTCGAGATCTTTGTTCGACCATCGCGAGTCGCCGATCCGCGCCTGGCCCTCCGGCGCCTCGGAGGCCTTTGCCCATTCTCGAAAGGCGGCCCTGGACTGGAATGGCGCCGCTATCTCGGCCCTGGTTGGTACACGGACTCGAGCCATCTTGTCGACTATTTCGTTCTGAGATGATCGAGGAAGAGCGCGGCGCATCACCCATCGTCACTGCGAAGGGAGGCTGCAGCTCCATACTTCAAGCAGCCCGATACGCCGTCCGCCATCGTCACCGATATCATATCCTTCGGCGCTGCGATGATTCGTTCCCTGCGCGCGGTGGTATTGGGACCCTGCCATCGGCGCTTTTGCAACCGACGGCGTCAGCGGTGCATTGCCACGCGAGTGACGGGCGGACGACAGCCCGATGACATCTATCCCATCGCCCCGATAAGGATTGCATGGGCGCAGATGCGGAGCGGGTGGCTTGGCGGGCGGCCGTGGACCTGGTTCGGGGGGGAGGGTGCTCCACTGAGATAAGCCGGCGGGATGTTGTTGGTCTTTTTACCTGAGATGCGCGATGTAGTAGCCCGACTTGGTGGATAGGGGGGTTGTCGGGTTGAAAGTACCGACGGGAGTGATGTCACGTGGGATAGGCTGAGTTGAGGGTGTTGGTTGGTTCTTATCGTGCGTTCTGGGCTATCTTCATGGCGTTGATGGATTGGAGCTGGAATCATCAATCGAGCGACATCTGGTCTGCTCTACAATACTGTTGTAGTCTAATTCTCAACAAATTCAGTCTCGAATGTGTTTTAAGATTAGAAGGGAATGTCCAGAGTTTGCGAAACTTACATGCGTGAAGGAGCGACTATTTTTGCTCAATGTTGTCTCTTATCGAAGTCTTACATATCGACATAGCAGCAAGCATACTTGTTACCCATGTATGTATTGCAGAAACCATTTTTCCGGATTTTGAGGTTGATTTGAGAAGGCATTGAACCTTGCTAGATCTTATCTGTGAAATCAGTTGCTGATCAACTGCACCCTTTCCTTCCGTTTGCTGCTTCCCTTTCTCCAATGTGGATGCAACTGAGTCATCGCTGCGACCGACCTGGCTTATGACTTACTTGCTCTGAATTTGAAAGACTCAGTCACATACCAAATGCATGGCATGATGCACATCTGCCGACTGTCAGTGAGACTTGGATCACATCAATAGACATAGCGCGACGGAGTTGGGAAATGCCAAGCCCCGAACTCCCTAAAGCTTCCATCTCTCAATCATCAAATTGCCAGACTCTTTCCCTGATTGAACCTGAGAGGAAGATGGCGGCATCGCTCGTCTATTTAATGACTCGTCAATTACAGAAACGCGACCGGTTCGCATCGCACCACGGCTCCTCGGGGATATTTCATCCCATGAGAGGGAACGGATCGCCATAGGGCTTGACACAATCTGGCGCTAAGGCCGGGAAGCAGTCTCTAAACTTTGTCAGCGAAAGTCATTTCCATATGAAAGTCTCATTGAAAGATGAATCTTCAGAAGGTCCGTCCAAAAATAGGCGGCGAGTGAAGGTCAAAATTACCTGTCAGAGGGGACTCAAGTCTTTATGTCTGACTCGCATGAACAGCGATGGCCTTGGCTAACCCTATATAAATTGCATACGAGAAATTAAGAGGGTCATTTAACAATTGCATGACGCTCCGGTAGCACCGCAAAACCTTATTTCGCTCCAATCCGAACCCTTATGATGCTGGTCTCCTTGTGGAGTTTGGCGGGTGTTCATCCCTTCATTGCAGCGACGAAAGCCCCGGGATCTACAAATAAGAATCTTCACGACCCCCCGAACAAAACCTACTGATGTTGACCGTGAGAAACAACAATACAAACTAGCCCAAAATGCTCTCTTCCGTCTTCCTCGCTTCAGCCTTCGCCGCCAGCGGCGCCTTCGCTGCCATCTCCCAGGGCTCCTGGGCCGTTCGCGCGGATTTCTCGCGTAAGTTAGACCCAGCACTCCCCCTCCCCCGCATGTAAGTGCGGGACATCTTCCAGAACGCGTCTAATTCAAACCCCGCAGGCTGCAACTCCTCGACGCCGCTTGAGCCCGTCCTCGACGGCGCCAAGAGCGCCTACTCGACAACAGACAAGATCGTCGACTTCAACATTGACTCGCCCTTCCAGGGGAACCTGGTGATTAAGGTCGCTGGCGCGGCAGGCTACGGCTCGCCTTACCCGCCGCAGCAGGTCGCCGTGGAGGTCTTTGCCGAGGCGACCGGAGGAGACCCTGGTGTGTGGGCCAACGCGACGGTTATCCCCGGCATGGGCCAGCCGGCGCTCATCTCTGGCATTTACTGGAACACAAGGAGCGATATTACTCTCACTCCTGCTTCGAACGAGACTGTGTCGGTTGAGACGATCTTTGATGGAGGTAGCTTGGTTGTTTTCTACGTGAGTACCGCCCTTTGTCTGCAACTTGGTGTTGCGATGGAACATTTACTGACATTGGTGTGTTTTTAAGTGCGGCCTTCCCGATGGTCCTACGCCTCTTTCGAAGAGAAAGTTTTAAGGGAGCAAACATTTCTGGCGAAATTTGTAAAATAGGATTGGACAAAATAACGACACGCAATTTCCTACCGGTTCCAGCAAACTCGAGTTCATAACAGGAGTGCTTCCACCGCCTTTTCGGCTTTTAGAACTATCCCTCTGACGAACAATCTTCGGCTCAATTTTGCCAAGAGCTTTTTGGAAGGATTATTTTTCCTCAAAAGATATCAGGCTCAGGTAAACATGCTGACAAGAACTTTGAGTGAAGGTGGAGTCCGACAGACAAAGATTTGCCCAATTGACGTGTCTAGCAACAGGGGCCCGACTCCGGCGGGTGAGGTACCCGTCATCCGTATCGTTCCCGTCGTCTTCTTCCGATCATTGGATGCCTTGTCCACCACATTGTGCTTTGCCGGCGACGTGCATGACAGTATTGGAATCTTACGTCCTCTTGTCGATGAGAGATTTGAGCATAGCCACAGCAACCCCGCACGTAAAATTCCTCAAATCTCGTCGCGTACCAAACCTCCCTTTCAGAAACTTGAGTGTCTACTTCTTCACGTTCAAGACAAACTTTGAAAATCACTAAATCATCGCATCGTCTCTACTCAAGTATCGGACCCATCACATACGGTCATTTCGCTCAGGCTGCTGCCGCCGTCTTGTGCCAGGATGAGTCGATGGCACGCGCCCTCCTGCTCCAACCCACGCGTTGTCGTCCAGCAGCAACGACCATACTGCGAATCATGCGACAGTCACCCAGACATAGATGCACTAGTTGCGGCGGAGGCATCTAAAGCATCGCCGATACCTTTTCTTCCTCCGGATGAGCCGCCAAGTCAGATGCATCTGTGGTGGCCGCCATGCGTGCCGTATGTCACCAAGGGACCGGATGGACATCCCGTACCAATACGACCGCCTGAAGATAATATGCCAGCTTCAACTCCCGACGAAGACGAATCGTCATGGAATGCATACAAGCGCCACATTTACCCCCAACGGCTGAAGGAGTGCGAATTTCGCGTTATGTGTCTCTATGCAGTTGACGACGTCAATCACCCCATCCAAGTGAGCTTGGAGGTGAACGATGACCTCCGTTATCATGAATACGAAACGGTATCCTATACATGGGGTGGCGAGAATGGAGATAGTCGCCTCAATCAACCGGTTTACATCGGACCATTTTGGGATATTCTTCTTCAGACCCATAACTGTTGGGAGATGCTGAGGCACATGCGACCGTGGAAAGGTGTCCGAACCATCTGGGTGGACGCAATCTGCATTGATCAGACTGATATGCAAGAAAGACAAGAGCAAGTTGCCAAGATGGGTCGGATTTACGAGAAAGCCCGTCAACTTGTCATCTACCTCGGACCTGACCTGGTCCCTCCGACATCGACATCGTCACCATATCCCAAAAGACACCATCTACAAGAGCTCAACAGTCTTGCAGAGAAACCACAACTGCCGTCGGCATCGTTGAGTTCCTCAAGACAGTGGACGTTATCCGATGTCCTCAGGAGACAATATTTCCGACGTCTTTGGATCATCCAAGAACTTATCATGTCAAGAAACATTACCCTCCGTGTCGGCGACATAGAGTTCATCGTTGATCAGGCGGTCTGCTCCCAGGTAGTTCAAGCCTGCGATATGCCATGGTTTGCTTTCATAACACGAAAGTCAATAGGTGATCAGTCGGGAAACAATCTTCGGGCAGCTGTCGAATTCGTGGATGCTTCACGAGCCTCAGATCCCCGCGATAAGATCTTCGGTATCTTGGGCTTGATTGATACAGGCGAGCGTCGCATAGTCCCGGCATATTCCATCTCCTTCAGACACCTCGTCATTGGTTACTACGCTTATTATCTGCTTACCAAGAGGGATCTTCGTGTTTTATTTCACGCATCTGGGCGGCGGGCACCAGAAGGGATGCCTTCTTGGGCGCCTCCCGCTCAGTATGATGCGTCCGGAAGTGAGCCCCTCGTTCCTCGCACAGGCAACCTACAGCCTGACTGGCTCTACAAGTCAAAGGACTTTGTAGAGGTCTATTCAAGCCACCACAAGTGTGACGATCCCGCGGAAGGTGGCTTCAAAATGGTTGAGAATTCCGCAAGTCTAACCCGACATAATTGTCTGAAAGTGGTCTGCGAGTGGCTCAACTGCCTTTGTTACCAGACGTGTTTCGCAACGTGCTGGTATACTCAAGCAGCAATAGACAGTTCAACCGGAGCATTCAATCTGACAGCAATACACATAATGTCTTTCGGCAACACCGACTTTGCAAAAGCAGAGATTGAGAAACATGGCGAAGTTTACGTCCATTTTTTGAAGGCCAGAAAAAGCACCATTTACCTGTATGCTAACGAATGCATCATCGATCCCGCAAACGAACCGGACAAAACCCATCTGTTCGCCCTTTGCGACAACGACAACGAAACCTGCGAGCCGCATTACAAAAACGGTTTGCCGTCGCGGAATTACGAAGCCGCGGAAATGACCCCCAGAACCAGACTTTGTGTGCTACAACAGATCAATGACGAAGCCAAGTTCCGACTTATATCTGCTTCTGTAATTACATGCTTTCATGCTCTGCCGACAATTGAAGAGCGCTTTCGCCCTTCCGAACACTTCTATTCCTATCTAGGTGGCTTCGCCTCTTTGGAGTACTATCGACTTGATTGCAATATTTTTTCAGCATGCGGCGATAAGCAAACCTTACCCCTGCCGTTACTGCGAGCCGATTGCAGGGTTGGAACACACTCCCGTGGGCAGCTGCTTTGCGGTCCATTCTCAGCTAAGTATAATGATATGTCTATGTATCTATATCAACCGATACATAGTGCCCGAGAGACTTGGGCACAACTTGATGGTGACCCCAAGGAGCACAGTGGGTTTTTTGACCCCTGGAGAGCTTATTCCAGGTATCCGAGCCCAAGACTAGCACTTCCAGCCATCAACAGAGGCGTCGTCTTTTTAGAAGTGTTTCAGAGCATCCTTGATGCGGAAAAGAGCGGTTCATCGGTAGAATTTTTCAAGGTCTACTTTCAAGCGGTTCGAGAATTCCACCCACAACTGATTCAATGGAAGAGCCGACGAAGGGATACAGATGATGATGAAGACAGGATCATAGACCTGGTGCAGTTGAGATTCGAGCCGAATCAATACGAAATACTGGAAAGCATCCTTGATATGATTCAGGGGTGAGTTAAATGCATTGTCTTGATTTTGATATTGGCTCCTGAGGCACCCTGAGTCCTCAGCGCACGTGCAGCCTTGATCAAGCCCGCCCTCGGCAGAATCTAGCTGACTCTCGCCCTCAAGGACTCGAGGGTCGCGGTGTCGTCCTCCGGCTATACGTGGAGGCAGTACTTTCAATCCCCCGTTCCTGAGAATCGGATGGCGCGATTTGGCACTGAACCAAATCAACGAGTCCTCCGAGAATCCGAGCGCGAATGATGAAGACGTTCACGGATTATATGCTCTTGATGTAATAAACAAGGCGGTGGACGGAGAAGAATTCTTTTATGACAACAGCGTGGTTCGCGAGCACAGGGGGCAGACCCTTTGGGTGGCGTTTGATATTTTGTCTCTGACGCTTTGGGCGCAAGTACACCCTCATATGGCAGAGTTACGAGGGCTTTCACGTTTTTGCAAGGATGGCGAGAACGAAATGACACGGCTTCTAAGGCCGCAGACGGAGGAGGAAGAACGGTTGACATGCTTCCGTTGGTGGCCAGTCGGTATCATGGAAGACTTCAAAATTGACGGACAATTACGCTCCATTACAATCATCTAGCTATTGGGCAGTCTCACAGCATTACTTGTCCTCTTATGGAATACGCAGTCATTCCATATCATTTATGCCCTCGCATGCTACGGGTGTTCGTACAATCGCGCGCGGAGTAACGGCGAATCAGACGACAATCCGAATGATTGCCGCTTATTTTCACATATTAAAACAGAGTCATTTAAAGTTTGCAAGGAAAACTAGGAAACGACTGTACTAACGTCATATGTCACTCGGTGGGATCATCCTCATCAGTCTCTCTTTTCATTCAAAGCAACATACCACTTAGTTTGCAATGTTTGAAAGAGCCCTGTAGGTTTCTTCAACATCCGTGATATTCGCGGCATACCTGCCGTACCGTTAAGACTTACAAGGTCACACGATGGTACTTTATTTTGAGATTAGGTGAACCAAAGTCAAGCGGATAGTTCTACAGGTCGAATGACACATACTTGAGCACCCGGTTTCTAAAAAAGCCGAAGTAGTTGGGTCAACCCAAGCGGAGCTGTCGACGAGTTTGTCGATGGAACCAGTGCCGTTACCCCCCCTTCAAGTACTTCGTTTTGATGGCATACAATTCGATACTAGCCTCCTTGGATTCCTTTGGGAGTTCACGAGAATGCTCTCAGAATCGATCAACTGCTGTAGGGGCACAGCAACATTTGCAGGGCAACCTTGAGAAATTGCCAAACGCAACTTCCCCAGATCTTCCTCTCTACCGCAACAGTGCAGAACGACTTTCTCCAATACCGAGGTGACAAAAGTGGCTCTCCGTGAATCAGCCGCCAACTTCGCTGTAAGTCCCTTCAACTCGTTACAGAAAGACACCAGCACCGTTTCCTCTGGACGTCTTCTCGCAAGGTTTGCAGACGCCGGCTCAACACTTGGACTCTCCAATCTGTTGATCTCTGGCACCCCAAGACTAGCACCTGCTCGCAGGAAGGTGTCCAGGGTCCTGAGGTAGTCTTCGAAACACTCTTCGCCAAGAAACTTGGATAGAGCTATATCTAGGAAATGCGAGAAGACGGTACGTGCCGCAGGACGGTCCAGTAGAGGTTGATTGGGATTGGCGCCGTGGGACAACAACCGACTGAAGGTGGCATTCCTCAAGGAGTCGTTCCATCGCAGGGCAGGAAACATGCACGGTCCCGATAGCATGTTGAAAACCGACATTGTACTGCGCGCAAAAAGCACCCAAGGTGATGGTGCATCCAGCGCGCTGGGAACATCCGACTGTCGAGGTAGCAAGTTGGGATCCTCACCGCGCCCGAGAAGAATGTCGAGGACTTTTGACGAGGGCCCAGGGCTCTCACCACCGTCACGGGACATGGGCATAAGCGCTGCAAACTGCGGCGACTCATCAAACACGTCGAAGAAATTTGGCTGCTCGGCGATCTTCTTTGTCAGATAAGGCGACAGTTCATGGCGAAGGAGCTCCTCGCGAAACAACAGCCTTGCATCGAGACGATCAGAGTTGGCGCCCCTAACAGTTACATGGCCGAGGCTGACCATTTCCACGATGGCGGCTTCGTACTCATCTAGGAGCTTCTCAATCTGTTGGCGCTGGGCAGAGTCAGGCTGCTCGGCTTGTTTGAGTGCTTCCGACGCGTAAAACAGGGCTTGGTTCAGATGCGAAATGAGCGGACCGCTGTTCAACCCCCGTCCCTGCCTGATCACGTCTACGACAAGTGAGCTTTTCTGTCTTGTGCCTCTGAGAAATCCGAGGTACGCTGCGGCGATGGATGTGAAGCCATTGTAGTCCGACGGCAACTTGCTGCGCAGATAGTCACCAACATCTTTTGTCGAGACGAAGTCCTTGACGGTCCTATGGAGGAACTCAAATCAATCATAAACAAGCTTAAGCAGGCCCTTTGTCTTCTGATTGATGCTGCGGACCGTCTGATCTCTCCGGAGGGCAACGCTCTGGACGGACCCAAGCTGTTCCGAGTTTTGCGACACGGAATTGTGATTTTGCAATTCTTTTTCCAACTGGTGGTAGAGATCGATGTGAAGCGGTTCCAGTGCGTGCACCGCGCCTTGTAAGATGCCCGCCATCGTGCGATGATCCGTAGGATTCACACTGTCCAGCATGTGTTGAAAAAGTTGATCCAAGTCGGATGGTAGTTGGCTGAAGCGTCGGGCGAGATCTTCCATCTTCTCACCATTGGCGAGACCCTCTCGCAACGATCTAGTCACGAAGAAGGCCCAGAGAAATACACCGTCAGCCTGAGTTACGATTCGGTTCACGAGCTCGGCCTTCGCTAGGGTAACGCCCTCGGAAGTCTCGGCAGTCCATCGAGGGTCAGCCTGCAGCTGGTCGTTGACGAATTTCCGGATATCGTCCCGCGTCAGCTCGTGGATATCCAGGCTCTCCTGACCATGTTGGCCGAAGATCCTCTCGAAGACTGGCCAACGACGGCTAGATAGGCATATCTTGACGTGGGGAGACTTGGCCATATCAAGGAGTACTTGGCAGAGTTCCGCGTGATTGCTGTCATATTCATCCAGTCCATCGATGAAGAGACACATACTCAATGACATCCGCTCCGCTGTTGATAGGGCTCGCAACGCAACAGCAGGCTCTTCCACAGACCACGGTTCAGCGGCCGCCTGCCACTTTCCAACTTTAGCAGCTGCCCAGCGATTCGGGCAGGCTATGGAGACAGCTTGTGGATGCCCACGAAGTAGATCATGGAGTAAAGACTGGAGAAGCCCCTGCCAGGATTTCTGAATCGGCGTGCCCGCGATCCAAAAGCAGTGCGTCGCAATAGCCAGTGTGCCGGTTGGGCCCGCCCAGGTCTCCAACAGCTCTTTGGTCCGAGTATGTTTGGAAATGAACTTCATGAACGTGGACTTTCCAGAACCTGGCTTCCCAGAGATCCAGAAAGTGCCACTCCCAGAAAGGAACCAGTTCGCCAGCCTAGAGTCAAAGGCCCATTGGAAAGTATCTTGGTGCGCCTGGGGAATGGAATCGAGACGGATAGGTCTGCTGGTGTAATTGAGGCTCGAAACAATCGTATCGGCTAGTAACGCATCCTCTGCTTCAGCCAGTCGGACAAGCAGGACTCTGAGTTGTTCGATGTCGGCCTGCGTGTAGGTGGCATCTGGATTCGACAAATGCTTTTGTGCTTGTATTCTCAAGTGTTCCAAGTCTCGTGACATGAGATCGACTTGAGATTCGTGTTCTGGTCTAGCGTATCGGTTCTGGCTTTCGAGCATCGTCAGGGACTGGCTCAGCTGGAAGATTCGAGAGCTGGGCTGTCACGTTAGAATGGATGAAAGTTCTCGTATGCTGGAGCTCGTCTTCTTTGACGTACCTAAGAATATGAGCGATTTCACGCGTTACAGTAGTCTTGAGGCGAATAGATTCCTCTAGCTTCAACCTCAAAAGGGCATCCGTAGCGATTTGTCCAGTTCTTCCGGTTGGCTTGTCGGTCGATCGTGTAAACACATGTTCAATGCTGTCAAGGAGTACAATGGCCGCGTCTCGAGAAGACGCCAGATCTCGCAGCGGAAGTGCATTGTCTAAAACCGTGGACCTGGCCGCGAGACGCTCTTGCATGTCTGACAGTGCCATTCTCAATGTTCTGAGGGATCCCAGAATTGCCTCGCCATTGTGATACGGCGACTGTACTTCAGAGCTCTGTGCAACTGCGAAAGCTGTCTCAGTAAACGAGGTTGCGTTAAGAATGCACGCCGCAGTGTCGAGTGTCGATATGGTATCCATAGCTGGCTGCGTGAATCCAGGTCCAAGACGAGGGTCTTCTTTCCTGCGTACGGCTCTCAAGACAAGAACAGCAACACCAGATTTGAGAAAAATTTCGGGGTAAAAATCGGGGGCTGTCTGACCTCCTGAATGATGAACCATCTATCGGATGAGCCCACTACCGTAAGGCCCTCGATAAGCCTGTGCCGCAAGGATTGGATCCCATGCACAGACAATGCGACTACCATGTGGAATGCTTGTCACTTCGGCTACGCTAAACTTAGAGCGGCTAGATTGCTCAAATGTTTCTTGCTTCGTCAGAATTATCGTCAAGCTAATGTTTCTTGATGTATTTTCGTATACGTTGATTGGCTCTACTCCGCCCCGGGGGTTTCTGTGATGGGACATAGACCTTCGGACTTCCCCCTTTGGGTTTGTTTTACGAGCCGTGCGGCGATACGAGCCATCGCCCAGCAGCAGGACGGAAGGAACCGACGGTTTTGGGACAGGATTCAGACTGATTGCTTGTCCTTAGGTTGTGCATATCTTGAGTTCATCTGACTCAAACGCAATGCATCTGCTGGGATTGTGATCACCATGAGTTGCGGCTTTCCACACCAAGTCATAGAGCGAGACAGGCAATCATCTTGCTTTTCGTTGCCATGCAGTAAGCAGATGCAAATAGACATTACCCATTGGTAAACGACTGACGTAGGAGAATATCTTCGTTACAATTACTACAGGGGTCATTAAGTCTACTTCGTCGTCTCCTCCTTGATAGACCATTTTGTCTCAATCGTGATAGCTTGCGCATTCCTTGGCAGCCTTTGGGTAGACTCCGTTTCCGAGACATCAGAGTCACCGTCATTTCCTGAACCCCTTCTCATGCCCCCAGTTCCAACCGTGGTCGTGAAGTGAGTGATGTTGCTGCCGTACATGGTTTCGAGTGGTATGCCGTTCGTAAGATCCTCCACCAGGTGGTCGTGCTTGCCCGATTGGGTTGAGCCGCCGAGTCTCGATACATACTCGTCCGTCTCGAATCGTCGGTGTTTCCAGAATGCCCACAATGGGAGAAGCATTGGAAGACTGTTGCACAAGATCGTCAAGTGGGTCTCGAGGACAGTCAAGAAAGTCGTAACGGCCAGGTTCCTCATAACTTGCGAAAGGCTGTGGACATCCATCATGATGGCGAGTCTCACTACGGACGCGATGATTGCGCTAGATGGTCGTTAGCTCGGTGATCATCGGGAACAAGCATCAATCTCCGAGAGCCAAGGCGACTGGAGGGGTACCCACATAAGATTCAACAAGAATACCGCGCTGAGACCCCATCGTGTCGAGACGCTGACCTTTCGCAGCGTCCAAATCGTGTACAGCGGGACGACCATGATTATAGTGTTGCTGATGCAGTTGAAAAGTCCGGTCGATAGAATGCTAGCCTCGTGATCGCGGCAGATGTCTTTGTTCGTGGCGTGCCATTTTCCGTCCGTCAGGTGGCAGACGAGGACAGTCTGGAGGACATTTCCGATGCCCCAAAGAATAACAATGACGAAGGTTAATCGAGTCGCGATGCGCATAGGTCGACTGGTGAATACTCGAAGGTAGAAAAAGAGGACGCTGAGTTTCGTCGTCAGGCTGACGACGCCGAAGATGGTTTCGAAGGGAAGGAAAAGCTGGACGTCATGGCGTTAATAAACGATCCTTAGAAGGCAAGACTCAATGTTGATGTTATAAAATAAAGACTCACCGAGTCTACAAAGGTCCAGTTGTCACCAATTTCCGACAACTGATACCCAAGACCTGCAGCAGTCCCTAAGACATAGTTAAGATGAATGTTCATTGAAACGCGCACTATGTCGTGAGACTTACAAAGTCCTTGTAACACTAACATGACAATGCCCTGGGGCACGGCCAAAAGAGTGAAGTAATCATCCCAACCAAGTTTTGAGCCGGCCAAAACACGAGAGACAACTCGAAGGGCAACCACCAACAACGTAACAAACACCAATACCGAATTCGCGATCAAATACACCTTAGCCTCTGGTAACATAGCCATGTTGGTGTAGGGAATCATCCTGCGACCGTGGTCGTTGAAGTTTGCATGTCTGAGAACGTGCCTCTGACTTGGCGGAGATTCCAAGTGGGAAGGGAAAAGAGAGGAAAAGAATCTTCCGAGATGGGGAGAGAGGGGACAACCGCATGTTAAAGTCGAGATGTCTTGGACAACAGCCGGGGTAGGGTTGCATTCAGTTTCACGCGAGGGAAACCGCGCCCACATTCCTCTCGAACAGGTAATGACTCGCACTGGGGCAGAGCGCCCCCCTGATCTCGCCTACCCCGGGCTGTTCAATCGAACAACTGACGATTCTGACTCGGACTACAGATCCACGTGGGTTCAAAGCGAGGAGGAACACAACTTACGGTTGACCAAAGGCGGCAAGACCGAAAAGCGAATGCGAAGATTTTATGTTTATCTTCAACTTTCAATCTTCACAGAGCTTTTTGGCACTGATACTCTTTCGCGGCCAAACATCGTCAATCTTGGCTTCAACTGCATGCTAAATATAAGTGCGAAATGATAGGTTTTCACACTGCAACCACGGCGCAAATGTACGCTTAAGGTAAACATCGCCAAACAATCCATGTCCCGCTTGAGCCTTTCGTACTGGGGCTGTTAAGGCGCATCCAACCTTAACAGAACAAGATCCTCAGTGGCAACCTACCAAAAGCTTGAATGCAAGGGTTGAGCGGGTTTTTGGTTGGCGTGGGCGACCCTCTACTGTAATTTACAGACCCCTGCAACACACGACAGTTCCCTCAGCTGACATTGGAAGGTGCTGTCACCTTCTGAAGCGAAGACAGCAAGGGTGTTAACCAGAGTAACAAGACAACTGACGTTTTACTGAATCGCCCCCGGCTTTAGACCAGCCTGTCTCGAATCGTGACTGGCTCGCATGTTGTCATGACGGAACTTATCGCTTCAATCCCCACAAACCGATTAGACGACTCGATAAACGTAGTACCCGGGTTTCTCCCCAACCCTCAGGTATTCGTCCTGGTTGAGGGGATCAAAAGCGCCAAATGTCCCATGCAAGGATAAGGGATACAATACAGTTGGCGCCATGTATACATATCCAATTCTGCGATATTCCCCATCGTACAAGCCCCGCTCAAGCACGAGGGCGTGGGCCCTATCCGCTTTTAGCTTGCTGTCCTGCGTGAACTGGTGGTGCTCAATAACGGCCAGGTAGACGACAGACTCTCCCATCGAACAGTAAATGGGGAAAGTGTCGTCCAAAGTAGGCTTGGTGACAAGGTCCACGTCCGCAATCACATCAGCTATCTCTTTGCCCTTGGCGTCTTCTCTTTCGGGCAGCGACAATGTGCTCAACTGGTACTTCAACATGCCGCCAGGGAAGAACTCCGAAATCCCTGAGGCATACATGTAGGCCCCTGGAACGTCGATCATCTGTGATGAGAGCTTGGCTCTGATTAAAGGGCCGTGAAGAACCAAGTGTCCGTCCATCACCGAGCCGAACCTCGACGAAGTGGTTTCCACTTTGGCATCTTCAACGCTGGCTACCAAACCGAATGTTCGGAGACCGTCGGACGAAGACTGCACGTTCACCGATCCTAGTGAGAATTTGTGGGTGTGGTAGTGAATCGGCTCCATGGATGCCCATGACCACGATGGTGCACGGTAGCCTTGTGGAGGGGATGATCGTCGTCCCTCTCGCGTGGTCCAAAGAAGATCTTCAAGGAGTGTATGCCGCCATAACCCGGCAAGGTAAGCATCTTCGCGCAAGCCTGATAGCCGTTGATAGACAGATGTCACCCCTCCGATGGCAATAAGCCTGTCCGAATCGAACGTAAATTGCCGCGTCATGTAGTCTTCCACCAGGCTCCACCAAACACGTCTTGAGGGCGAAGCCTCCGAGCTCGACCGCACAGAATATAGCTCAGATGGAGAAACAGACTGCGAAAGGCTGGACATACGCAAGACATCAAACTCATGTCCCTTGCAGGTCTCGTTGAAAACATATCCTTTAGCGTCGGAAATAGAGAACCACCACAACTGATCGTCGGCGCAGTGAATGACCTTCGGCGACAGGATTCGCTCTTGGTACACCCAACCGCGAGTGAATATGGTTCGGAGGAGGACGCGACGGCTAAATGACGTGTTGTCGATGATTCTGAATGGCTTTTGGAGCATCGGGATGTCCTCAAACCCGGTCCAGGTCGGCTTGACGTACGTAGGATATCGCAGCATGGAGTCGGGCATCGTACCCGTTGACGAGTCATCTGCGGCAGTCGCGGAAATTGTCACCTTGGCACCAAGGTACACGGACGCCATGCGGGCTGCCTCGGCCTCCCAGTCCTCTTTGGAATCTTGAATGATGCACAGAGAGTCAATCCAGAGATGATGGATGTCTAAAGACGCAGCAAGCTTGATGGTATCCTGAAAGGTTCTTGGAAGAGTGTTGAGAGGCACTCCGCCAACTAGTTCCTTCAGGTTCTCATGGCGCAGCATAAGGGGATGCTTCCCTCCCCAGCAATGACTCAACGCAGCGTATTCAGTGGTGGCGTTCATGTTATTTGTTTCCAGCCTCACCATTTCTGACTTTTCGCTTGCATTTGCCGGGAGGAAGTGTATGAGTCTCGTTGGGAGGGTGGAGGTCAGACCCATCGATGGGAGTGGTGTTTCCACGTGCAGCCAGTCTTTGATGCGTACCAGTGAATCCTGACGAGAAAGCTCCGGCAACCAATTATTGGTGTCACTGGGAATTGACATGTCTGCCTCGTTCAATCAGTCTTCAACAAGCCCAGATCATGCGTCAAAATTAAGTCTCAGTGACGACTTACCCACAACTTCAAAGTTGTTGAGTTCTCGAATGCCCCGATGAGTGTAGATGCCATCTTTGACGCTTTGGACATACAGGAAGCACAACTTGAAAGCGCCCCAAGGGAAAAAATGTTCCTGCGGAACAATCAATGGAATCGCCCAGTTGTGGTCCTCGTAATCGTCGCTGAGATCCCTCGGCTGATCGTAGATCATGGCACAGAGTGAGCACTCATGTCGTGCCTCGGCAAGCTTTTGGATAGAATGATGGAGATGCAGTGACGGTCTTTGTTGTGACGCTAGGGGTACGTCGAGTTCAAGCCTCCAGTGATGTCTTTCAGTGGGGAACAGTAATTGGCTGTGCGGGATCTGATCGGAGTGATGCTTAAGATATTCCCCAACGGTGATGTAGCTGCCGCTGAAGATTTCAAGGCATGACGAGCACAAAGTTGATTCCGCCATGTTGGAAAGGCTCAGGTTTGTAATCATACAAGACAAGAGTGACGGATTAGGTTTTCAAGATGGGTTTCTCAAAGCTTGAAATTCGTCTGATCACGACGTAGAACGCTGTCTACTCGTGACATTTAACGGCCCGAAGTCGAGCTTGAATATGGCGGAGTAAGATGCCGCGTGATATTCAATTGCCACGTCACTTGCATTTGTAGTCTAGCTGAACTAGGGCCCCCGTAACATGAGCCAATGAGACAAGGCCGAGGTTACAGGCATGAAATCCTTCGTACTAAAACCAAAGTGCCCAGAACTACCTTCTTACATGATTGAATCCGAACAGGACTCTCACTGAAAGCTTTGGCTCTCTTTCGACTGATCGAAACATAAACCTCCCACACGGCAATTGCCGCCTGATTACATGCGTGCCCAGGACTCGACTCGACTAATACGACGCAAATCTTTGGTAACAAGTAAGATGGGGAGACAATCCCTGAAACTGTTTCTAGACGTTTAGTAGGCGTAAAACAATACGTTCTCATCCTCTGACTGCCGAATTTTCTTGTTCTCGTGCTTCAGCCAGAATCGCATCGCCCATGCCCCGGCAGCTGTTGCGACGCTCAAAGCCGCGCTTGTTGACATCGCCATAACGTACCGAGGCTCGTCAGACTTGGGCCACTGCGTTTGTCGTCAGTATGCTGAATGTGCACTTGAGAACAATGACTTACCATGTAAGGAGTCCAGATGAAAGAGCTAACAGCAATGCAGTTGACTATGGCTAGGGATGAAGCCTTTTTCTCTTTCATTTGAGAGCATGTTGCTGACACCCAGCCAAGAATGATACTATTGACGGCGTAGGTACTGCAGCAGAATTTAGCCCAGATGGCCATCTTTAGGGATCTCTTGAGAGGCATACCCAATAGAGAAAACACACATTGCGACTATTGATAACCAGCCATTAGTGAATGGCAGGGGCGAAACGTCTGTTAGTACAAGACTTACAATACCGAGCACCTGTGTTAAGCGTGGCGCAACCTAGAACGAAACCGAAGACTGCAATCGCCTTTGCGATGGTAATGTGCCTGGGATCCTAATGTCAGAAATGTCGATGTTGACTCACAAACAGCGTCTAAATCCTTCTACTTACCAGGTTCTCTCATTAAATCTCCCAGATGACCATGACCAGGCGATGGAAATGATGCCTGCAATCAGGTACGGTGGGCATGTGAGAACAAGTGTGACTGTCTCGCTAAACCCAAGCGTTTCCACCGCAGTGGGAAAGAAGTTCTTGAACCCGTTCGCTCCGAGATGAAAGTGCTGCATAGCCGTAAACAGCCAGACTCTTGGGTCCTTCGCCGCCTCGATGAGGCCACTCCAAGTAGTAGTCTGTCCGGTATTGCCCACGGTGTCTCGTAGAATCCGTTCGTTAGCCAGTATTCTCTCCTCGGGAGTTAGCCATCGGGTCGTCAAGGGCTCGTCGGGAAGGATGAAGAATGCGATGATGGCGATGATCAGGGTAACAACTCCCTGTATGATAAAAAGCCATCGCCACCCAGAAATCCCAGCCTTTGGATGGTTAGCAAGATGACATCCAGCTGTCGAGAGTAAATATTCCATACCATCCCATGCATCTGGAAGATTCCAAGTGCAATGAGGCCAGCAAAGGCGGTCGCCAAGATGTTGCCCGTATACAGGATCGATATCCTGGTAGCCAGCTCCTTGCGAGTGTAGAAAGTCGCCAGCACGTACAGAGCGCCGGGATAGTACGGAGCTTCGGTAATTCCCAGGAAGAATCTTGTGAGAAGAAGTCCAGTATAATCCTTGCTCACGGCTGTGAGGCCGCTGATGACTGCCCAGACCGCCATACAGGAGCCCATCCACCAGCTTGGACGCACTCGAGTTACGACCATATTGGCCGGGATACCCACGATGACATATCCCGCAAAAAGAATGGCCACGCAAGTTTGATATTGTGTCGGGGTGAGGTTGAGGTCCTCTTCGAGAGTGTTGAGTCTCGCGAGAGCGATAGCATTTCGATCCTAGTTCGTGTGAACGGTTGCTAAATACTTGGTGGCATCGAATATCTACTCACAAGGTAGTTAAGCCAATACTAAGATGGGCTTGGCATCAAATACCGAAGAAAAATGTTCGTTGACGGGGCAGCACTTACCATCAACCATAATCTGTAGATTTGATTAGGCAATGACTCCGAAGTTGTGTGAAAGGAGGGAACCACTCACATTGGCATGATCCACCAATCAAGCTTTCGAACGAGAGCAATCTCGCGAGGGTCCGACTTTTCGTGGGCTCCAGAGTAATCACGAATATTCGGGTCGACTTTCAATGTGCTTTCGACCTCTTCAAGAACCTCGGGAAGCCCATCATTCTTTCCGAGACTTTTTCGATGCATGGCTGTTGGAACTAACGATCACCTAGGCTGCAGCTTGAGATAGAGGGGTTCGAGATAGTACGACAAGAGGCCCACACTAGAAATCGATTAGGGCATCATCTCGCGCTCTATATATGCGCTCTTTACACTTCCTTCTAGGCCAAGAGGCCATCAAGGACTCTAATCGCATCGAAGCTTAGCCCATTCCTCCCCGCACTGCCAAGTTGGCTTGCCAAGCTTTCCAAGAAATGGCGCTCTTGGTCTTCGTCCCTATTCGCGACCACAATGACGAGCTCATGTTTTGGTACGGCTGTTAGTGGTGTAAAAGGTGTCACCCTTGCCGTCAAGTCGGTGAATGTCTGGGCCAGGTCGTTGAGAATCTAGGCGAAGAGGGGTAAATCCTTGACAAGACCAGGTCATGCTGCCAACGGTGCCAAGGCTGGAAGTGATCCCAATCTTCCGCCATCGTAACCAGTCGCCCGGGCTAACAACAGCGTCTGAACAACGAAACTAAGCATTAAAAAGGCTTCTTATTGCAACGCGTCAATCTTCAGGGTGCTGACTCAGTCCGAGAACATCGGGACGGGGCCGTTGGACCTATATTTCCGGCATCCGGCGTTGGCATAGACCGGGCTGCATCCCCGCGATTTTGACTGAGACAAGATTCCTCCACGACTATATTTCTTTTGCCGATTTTGCGGGGGTAGAATCGCACACAGACGGGTGTGTTTGTAAGCCAGATCTTGCGGGGGGCGGGAATATGACGGTCGATAAGGATGACATGGCTTATGGGCTGCCGGACAAGGGTTCTTATCTGCGATGGACGTCGGAATCACCTGGAGAAGAATAGCTAATCTGTGGGGTTGACGTGCTCCAATCTCCAACGAGCCAACAGGAATGACCCCATGCTAATCTTGTCTCCATGCATCGGCATATTCATGGACAGTTGGAGGCCCTCTTCTCTCCTATCTCTGCCCTGTAAACTCCATCGGCTGAAAATCTTCCTGCGTCGATTCTTTCTGAAATTCACAGAGACCGACACGTTACTGTTTGTGTTTTGACTTTTGATTTCTGACTGCAATAATGTTCGGTCAAACTTTCACAAGCAACTCGTTGGCTGCGAGGTCCGGATTTCACCCAGACAGCCCTGTGAGCCCACACGCGGCCCCGCTCGTCGGGGGACCTCCGCCGCCCCGTAAATCGCGAGTCGCTCTCGCTTGCAAGCGTTGTAAGAGGAGAAAACAACGGGTACGTGAACCGATTTTGTTGCTGGGGCTTCGCATGCTGATGGAGCCTGGAATAGTGCGATGGAGGCCATCCCAGTTGCAAGTCCTGCGACAAGGCCAATGTATTGTGCGTGTACGAGAAAACACTAAGACCGCATTACCCTGGAGGGAAGTCGCTGTACATCAGCGCCTTGGAAGAGCGCATCGCGTTTCTTGAGGCGCGCATGCCAGACTTCGCCGAGGATCACTTCACTACAGCGACATCATCAACCGAGGCACCACAGCTGAACAAGTTCGAGCGCCGAGAGTCTCAAGACTCCTTCTCGGAAGAGGAGCCCTCCTCTCTTGTCGATGGTGTCGCGTACTTGTCTCTCTGTGCGTCAGGGACCACAGACACGGCACCAGAGCCGTTCTACCTCGGCTCAAGCTCCGGGGCCACGATTGCCAGAATGATCCAGTCTTCCATATTTCATGGAGCTGGGGGAAGAGCCATCAACGAAGCCATGGCTGCGGTTCAGCCTGGGGTCCTTCGACCACAGCTTTCGACAGGTTCCCCATCGTCTCATTCCGATGAGCCAATGTCTGAATTCCCCCACCCGGACCAGGCGAAAATGCTCTTTGACGTATTCTTCGACCGGCTTCACACCCGCTGGCCTATTTTAGACAGAAAGATGTTTACTATACTGTTCGAAAGTCAAGACCATCAGGGAGCTCTGCCGTTACAACAAAGAAGCATCATGCATCTCATCTATGCGATCTCGGCCAGATTTCTGCAGTTGATGAAGAAGCCCTGTGACGTCGATCCCGAAGTGAGTTTACCTTCCCTGAGCTTAGCTAGACAGGGTGTTAACCAGTTCAGCGTCATCTCTTAGCAGCCATCGAGCCGATGGACTTTATCTTAGAGCAGCATAACCTGGCAACGGTCCAATTCCTGCTGTTGCTCGCCGTCCATGGCCAGCGAAGCCCTTTCGGTGCCGGCTGTTGGTCGCAGGTTCGGTACGCTGTGACGCTTTGCATAGAACTGGGCCTACATCGGAAGCAGCCAGGCACATTGTCACACAGTCAGCGCGATGTTGAGATAAGAAGGCGGGCATTCTGGGCTTGCTACTGCCTGGATAGAATGACGAGCGTGGTGTTGGGAAGAACATTTGCCATTGATGACAGAGATATCAACGTGGAGGTCAGCAGAACTTCTGCCAATTTCAAGATCCCCTGCTTACTGTTCTTCCAGATGCCTAGCGACGACCAAGCATTTTGGGACCTGACAGCCCTGGGATGTCCGCCAGCATCTCCTGAACCAGTTTGGTCAAACATGAAGCCGTTCATTCACATCATCAAGCTCCGTCGAATACAGTCGAGAATCCACAGACGCGTATACCGAGTCGACAAAGATGTTTTTGCGGGATCCCCAGATGAGAGGGCCAAACTTGACTCGAAAATGACGGCTATTCGGGGCGAGCTAGACGAATGGGCGAGAACGATCCCACATCCGCCGAAAGATTCCAAGTCCATAACGTGGATGTATGATCCAGAAAGCGCCTATCACGACTCAAGAGACTTCTTCAATCTGTTAGTTGGGGCTTGTTGGTCCTCATTTCTTGGAGATACGCTGACACCGCTCAGGCAATACCACAAGTCCATACTGTCGCTCTTCACCGTTCTGCTTCCCACTTTGAACACATCCGACCCGAGATTCGTGACCAGCGCACGATCGGCAGCCTGCGTATGCACCACATACAAGCGCCTCAATCAGCAAAAGACTCTCAGTTACACAATGATGGCGCTGCACTCATGTTTCATCGCGGGACTCACGCTCGTGTACTGCCTGTGGAGAGACCGCTCTCTCTTCTCATACGACGCGCTGGAAGCTACTCGCGCCTGCTCCCAATCGCTCACAATCTTTGGTGAGAAGTGGCCCGGGGCAGTCAAATATCGCGACATCTTTGATGCTCTCTCCGGAAGTCTGTTCAAGACCATTGTCAACCCAAGTTCTACCTCGGTTTCGGGATTGAAGCCGCTCGAGGTGGATCTTGAAGCGGAACCTGGGGTCTCACCGACAAGTCCTGCCGTGTCGCCCAAGACGCAGCACGAAGGTAAGCCGAGTATGAGCCATGCCATCTCTGATGCAGTTAAAGAGGCGTTTATGGAGGTGGACGAAGAAGCGCCTGGCGGATGGCAAGGGTGGAGGATGTTCAATGAGATGGTGCACGACGACTCGATACCTGAGCATATGGAAATGATCAGACACGAGGAGATTCTACCCGGTGATGCAGGCGGCAATGGAAAGGCACCGGAGTACGACTCAGTATTTATCCCGGAGGCACTTCCGATAGGAACAGTGGACTCAGAATGGGACTTCGGAGGTCTGGAGGGACATTATTAACGATGCTCACCATGTTCTTGCTTGCTATGGTCATGCGTTTTATTAGATTCGTTACTTAAGCGCTCTCTGTCTTTACATTCATTACAACTCCTCGGAAGCCATCTATGCCAATTGTCCCTTCTTGTAGGGATACTTCGCCTTGAAAGCCTCCGCAATCTCCGTTCTCGTCGCAACCCAGACACCCTCCTTCTGGGCAATGTAGTCCACAAAGTCGCGCAACGCCGCGAATCTTCCAGGTCTTCCAATGATGCGGCAATGCAACCCAATCGTCATCATCTTCGGCTGGCCCTCCTGACCCTCCTCATACAGCACATCAAACGCGTTCTTCAAATGCGTGTAGAAGCCATTCGGGTCGCGGAATCCAGACCCGGTGATGTGGAACTTGAAGTCGTTGCAGTCGTAGCTGTACGGCACCATCAAGCACCCCTTCGGACTCTCCTTCTCCCTCTCCAGAGGCAAATCAGTCCAGTATGGGACATCGTCCGCGTACGTATCACTCGCCCACACCAGCTCCTCGCCCATCTCCTCATACACCTGCGCAATCAACGTCCGCGAGTGCGGCGACGGCCGCCCGTAGTACCACCCCTTCGGCGCGTACCCGGTCAGGCTCTTCAGCGAGGTGATGCCCTTGCGGATATACTCCTTCTCCTTCTCGATGGGAAAGTCGTGGTAGTCGACCCAGCGGTACGCGTGGGACGCGACGTCGTGGCCCTCCTCGACGCAGCGCTTCGCGACCTCGGGCTGCTCCTCGACGGCCTGCGCGACGGCGTAGAGCGTGAACTTCATCTTGCGCGAGTTGAAGAGCCGGAAGAGGCGCCAGAAGCCCGCGCGCGAGCCGTACTCGTACTCGGACTCGACGTTGTAGTTGCGCTCGTTGACGCGGGGCCCGCCCATGGGGTTCTCGCGCAGGTTGGTCTCGGAGACGCCGTCGCCCAGGAGAACGGATCTCTCGCCGCCCTGAGAGGTTGTCAGCATGTGTCAGAGCAGAAGGGGCGAGGGCGGACGGACCTCTTCATAGTTGATCACGAACGAGACGGCGATTTTGGCATCGTTGGGCCAAGGGCAGGCGAGACCCTTCTCGCCGTAGCCCTTGAAGTCGCGGTCGAACCCGTAGTCGGGATGCGCGTGGTAGGCTTCAGGCATGTTGTTTCTCAGCTTAAGGTTGTCTGATTTGATGTAAGATGAATGAAGATGTCCTGAAACAGGGTCCAAGTGGTGATGTCAATTGAAAAAGAGAAAACAATCATTCACCTCAATTCGTAACGTCTGTGAGCATCCGTTCTGCAGCGTACAAATACCTGGCAACGTCACTTCTATCGGCATGTCTCACCCGCGTGCTCATCTGTGCCTATCGCCGTCGCATCGCGCACTATCAGCCGTGATGCGCGTCCGGCACGAGTGCCCCTCCACATCGTACCCCGCCACAGGTCTCGTTATCGGTGTGATTGAGCGTGCAGCTCGTTATCGCGATGCGCGTCGCGGATGAGGGTCTTGGGGGTTGCATCATTGCAGGGGTCGGGCAGCTGTTGGAGGTGCATCGGCTCAAACGAACCGTTGGAGCTCGGGGGATTATGCCCCATGGAGGGAGTGCTGATAAGGCGGAGGGCCGATGGTGGGGTTCGGCGTGGGCGCCGATGAATGTTTGTTCTGGCTTATGTGAAAGATAACGAGCTGCGAGCTTTGGAGATGCAGCTTGATGTAATGCCTAGGAATATTGGTTTTGGTTTTGGTTTTGGTTTTGTTACTAAGTTTTTTTTAGTGCTCTAGAAAGAGATTTTTTTTTACTAATAAGCTTTAAGGTATTAATGGATATCTTACTATTTAGTTTTATCTCTTAAAGTTATAGAGAACTCTAAGGGAAAAGATTAGTATAGCTATAACTAACTAAGTAAGGATTATAGTACTATAGCTTTATCCCTATTATATATACTACTTTTATTATAGCTAAGATATTAATAGTTTTTAGTTTTAACTAATATAATATTATCAATATATCTAATAATATTATTAATAACTCTAATTATACTCTAGTGTTATAACCTATAAGCAAAGATAATAGATAACTAACCTACTTAGATATTAGGCAGCTAGAATAGAGTAGAATAGGATATTTATACTATAAGATTATAGGAATAATAAAAACTTATTTAGAATAGAAGAACTATAGTATAAGTTATATAATAATAAGATAAGAAATAATTAGTAGAGTATAAAAAGGAATACCTAGTAATTAATTAGTATTACTAACTAATTATAATTATTTATATATCTAAGTAGTTACTTAAAGTTAAATAAAAAATATTATTTAAGATTTATATATAGTATTACCTTAAGTTTAGCTTACAGTTAGACTTCTATAGCTTTTTAGTAATTAATTTAATATTTATCTTTATAGATATTTTTAGCCTACTTTTACTATAAATTACTTATTAAGCTTCAGACTAATCACTTTAGCCTTTAAAGACTTAATTTATTATAGGCTATAACCTATAACTATAACTATGACTTAGTGTACTATTATTACGTCTGAATCCCTAGCTTCTATTAGTAGACCCTACTGTTAGATAGCTAATTATAATATCTAGATCTTTACTATTATATTAGTTTCTAGCTAAACTTCTTTAACTACTATTTTAATTTTAAGAGAAGTATTAATATTTTAATAGTAGATAACTTAAATAATTACTAGAATATTTAGATATATCTCTTAAGTATTTATATAGTTTTTCTTAATATTATATAATATAAAGTAGTAATCTACTAAACTTAGTAAAACTTTAAAGTTATACTAACTACTATTAATAATAGTACCTTATACTAAGTATTAGATATAGCGTAGTTAAATACTCTAAGAGCTTTAATATAGTAGATAGCTCTATTAGCTAAGATATAGTGGTATTAAGTATAGGAGGATTCGTAGTAGTGTAGCTACTATCTACAAGTACCCTCAAAAAGTCTCTTTTTTTGAACCACGTAGCTTACATAACGCAGTTACCTGGGGCCGAGGCCCGCAGGCAGCCCAGGAATATTGGACATGGGCGGATGTCGATGGACGGATTTGGTGACGGGGATGTGGGTTGCGGGAGATGGGAGCAGCTGAGTTGACTTCTGGGGCGGAAGTGAGTGATTGTCGGCCCGCTCCGTCAAAGTTAACTGTCAAAAAGCTTCAGAAATGTGACTATGGCTCGCGTGGCGTAACATCAATGAAAAATCTTCTCGATGATCATGTTTAGTTTCTCCTGTTGTTGAATGCTACATTTCGAACGATGCTGATGCAATACCCAATGCTGTATGCAGCCCGCATAAGCTGTGCATCTGAAAAAGACCGCTCTCACGCACCGATTTTCTTCTCATCTGCGCTGTCGTTCAACTGCGTAGTCGCCGGTCCGTTTTGATCTTCCAAAGCTTCTTCCGCTGGCGCAGGCTTCTTCGCCTTCAAACCCGTGTTCCCAACACCCAGCGTCAGCGCCAAGCTGAGCCCAGAGCAAACCACGTAGTAGATGAAAATGTAATGCAACCCTTTCATATACGCCTTCAATATCACCGTCTTCTCGTCCTCCGAGAATCCCTTCTGGTCGAGCGTGTACGTCGACGATGTGAGTTCCGCGATGATCACATCCGAAACAAAGTCGCGACCGCGCAGGTCCCGCCTCAGTGTATTCGACAAGATGACGCCCGAGATGACAAGGCCGAAAGCGCCGCCTATGGTGCGGATGAAGTTCCGCAAGCCGGTGGTCACGGCTCGGTCCTCGCTTCGTGAGTTGGCGTACATTCCTACCAGTGTCGGTTGCAGGGTCAAGCCGATGCCGGAGCCGACGATAATGAGGATGCCGATGAGTTCGCCCAGCCCCGTGTGGCGGTCGAACATGATTGTCAAGCCGTTGCCGACCGTCCAGAGGAAGAAGCCGACGAGGATGCAGGGCATGTACCGGCCGATGCGGAGCATGTACTGCCCCGAGAGGATCGAAAGAATCGAGGTCGAGATGATGACCGGTAGGATCAGGGCGCCGGCCACGAGAGGGGTGTACTTCAGGATCGACTGGAAATAGATCGGGAAGTAGAATAGGTTTCCAAAGTACGCCTGGCCCATGAGGAATGTTTGGCCATACAGGAAACTGCACTTCGAGTCCTTGAATAGCCGGAGAGGCATGATCGGTAGCTTCGCGAGTTTCCATTCAAACAGCACGAAGAGAACTCCCAGAACAGCGCCGACGGTGACAGAAGCGATGACGAAGGGTGATGACCATGGATAAGTCACACCACCGCCTGACAGCGGGATCAGCAGCAGCAAGACTGAAGCCATGTTGAGCGCGATGCCGCCGTAGTCGATCTTCTTCACTTTCTCGCCGTAGTTGCCGGGTTGATGCTTCAGAGGCAGACAGAAGAGTATCGTCAGAGCTGCCGGGGCACTGATGATCGGGACCATCCAGAACACCCACCGCCATGTCGATTCCTGAACGACGGCACCGCCGACAAAGGGGCCGACTCCGTTGGCGAGCGCCAAAACGGCTCCGAGAACACCTGCCAGCCATCAGCATCCCATCCCTCTTATCGCGAGATTTCCAGACTAACCTTGGTACTTCCCCCGATTCTCCAGCGTCGTGATATCGCTCACGATAATCATGACAATACTATTGATCCCACCCCCACCAATACCCGCAATCGCCCTGAACGCAAACAGCTGCTCCTTCGTCTTCGAGAACCCGCAAAGAATGTCGCCAACCGCCATGAAGACCAAACAAATCATGAGCAAATTCTTTCTCCCAAAGATGTCCGACAGCCGGCCGTTGATGAGCTGAAACGCAGTAGAGGCGATGAGGAACGACGTCCCGATCCACGACGTCGCCGTCCCAGTGTCGAGGTCGCCCGCTATGGCCGGCACCGCCGTTGAGACGCTGGTCTGGTCGATGAACGAGACGAACAAGCACACCGACAGCGCCGAGAACGCCAACAGCATGCGCTTCCGCGACATGGTGTTCCTCTGCCCGCCGACGCTCTCC